TATATATATATATATATATATATATATATATATATATATATATATATTTTTTCAAATTATTTACCTGTTTAGATTATTACAGAATATTGAGCAGAGTTCTCTGTGCTATACAGTAGGTCCTTGTTGGTTATCTATGTAGGTATGTCAATCCCAAACTCTCAATTTATCCCCCCCCACACACACCTTTCCCCTTTGGTAACCGAACAACTATATATGCCAATAAAATGAACAAAGTAGAAGAAATGGACAAATTCCTAGAACTGTACCATCTCCCAGGACTGAACCCAGAAGAAATAGAAAATATGAACAGAGCAATAGCCAGTAATGAAAAAGAATCAGTACTAATTAAAAACAAAAACTCAACAAACAAAAGTGAAGGATCAGATGGCTTCAGAGTTGAATTCTACCAAACATTTAGAAAAAAGTTAACACATAACCTCAAACTATTCCAAAATATTGCAGAGGATTAGGTCAGCATCATCCTGATACCAAAATCAGACAAAAATATCACATAAAAAAAGAAAATTACTAGGCAATGTCACTGATGAACATACATGCAAAAATCCTCAAAAAGTATCAGCAAAATGAGTCCAACAATATATTAAAAGTATCATACACCATGGTCAAGTGGGATTAATCCCAGGGAGTCAAGGGTGGTTCAGTATCTTCATATCAATCCATGTGATAAACCACAGTAACAAATTGAAGAATAAAAATCATATGATAAAAAAAAAAAACATGATCATCTCAATAGATGCATAAAAAGCTTTTGAAAAAATTCAACATCAATTCATGATTAAAAGCTCTCCAGACACTGGGTATAGAGGATATATACCTCAGCATAATAAAGGCCATTTGGAGAAGGCAACAGCTAACATCATACTCAGTGGTGAAAAACTGAAAGCATTTCCTCAAGGTCTGGGTCAAGACAGAAATGCCCACTCTTGCCACTTTAATTCAACATAGTATTGGAAATCCAGGCACACAAAATCAGACAAGAAAAAGAAATAAAAGCAAACCAAATTGGAAAGGAAGAAGTACAACTGTCACTGTCTGCAGATGACATAACACTGTACATAGAAAATCCTAAAGACGCCACCAAAAAACCACTAGAGCATATCAATAAATTCAGAAAAGTTGCAAGATACAAAATTAATATACAGATCTGTTGCATTTCTATACACTGACAATGAACTATCAGAAAGAGAAATTAAAGAAACTGTACCATATGCAATAACATCACAAAGAATAAAATACCTAGGAATAAACATACCTAAGCAGGTAAAAGACACATACTCAAAAAACTATCAGACATTGATAAAAGAAGTTAAAGGCAACACAAAAAGATGAAAAAATATACCATGCTCATGGTTTGGAAGAATTAATACTTTTAAAATGACCATACTACCATATATATATGGTATATCTCACATGCTCTTTCATTTCATGTAGCTATTCCTACAACTCCAGGCTGTTTGTTTCCAGGAAAATATATTATTTCAGATACCTATTTGCACACTCAAGACTCCTCTGTAATCCCAGACTATTTAAGAGACTTCTGCTTGACACTGCCTAGATTCTGAAGCTCCACTACAAGCATTAATAAAATTATATTTACATAGGTATTTATATGATAACCAAACAATAATGCATTTACGGGCTTCCCTGGTGGCGCAGTGGTTGAGAGTCCGCCTACCGATGCAGGGAACGCAGGTTCGTGCCCTGGTCTTGGAAGATCCCACATGCCGCGGAGTGGCTGGGCCCATGAGCCATGGCTGCTGAGCCTGCGCGTCTGGAGCCTGTGCTCCGCAACGAGAGAGGCCACAACAGTGAGAGGCCCGTGTACCGCAAAAAAAAAAAAAAAAGCATTTACAATTGTACTATGATTTATTGCTTCTTTTGGAGCATAAAATTGTCTTATTTGCCACTCTCTTGTAAATGACTTTGTAAATTATACTTAGGACTTAGAGAGGAATGAACATACAAAAAACTGATCAATGTGCAAATATCATCAATTTACATATATCTCACAAGATTAGGAAATTCTCCCATTATTATCAAAGAAAAACAAAGCCTGGATACTCTGCAGTCATGAATCAAGAGAATGCAGGGGACTAGAGGTAAGAAACAGACAGTAACCAACGCAGCAGAGTTCACCATTCACCAGCTGGGATTACTAAAAGGAGCCAAACAAATGTGAAATATGGAAGAGAGGGTTACAAAGACACAAAAGTGCTCACCAAGACAAGGATGCTTTGGGTGGCTCTAGATTCAGGGGAGGATCTAGAGGAGTTAATAGTCCTAGGGATGTGTTGAATCTGCTGCCTGTGCCTATTCAAGATGAAAACCATAGAGACATGGATCAGATCATGAGCAGCAAACATGAAACATCAGGGAATACGTAATAACAGTCCTACAGTCAGTAAGATGGTGATTCTGCTATGAAATAAATTATAACCGAATCCCAAATCCTTTTTCTGTTGACAAACCTAGCGTACTTAATTACTATGATATACTTACAGATCTAGTTAGCTGTGTTTTTCCAATAGTTTAGATATATATTTATCTGTTTTCCTAACTTGTTATTATAGTTTAAGTTGGTGGTAATTATTGTTTTAGTACTGACAAGTTTCCAGTTCAGTATAAAGATTTATTAATAGGCCAATATCAATTATGCAAAGGATGTAGTGATCTTAATATAGATACTCTCATTGTAATACTACAGAAACCTGCAATATGACAACGTTGGATTTAATACATGCAAGACAGGCTCAATATTAGGACGGCAACAGAGAGAGTCATATGTTTCTGTGCCTGAACAAAATGGAATACCACCCATCACAGGAATTGTTGAATAGCATCATAGTGTGCCTTAAAGTAGGTGTTATGAATCACTAATATTAATAAAATTGTGTAGGTTAAAAAAATTCTACGAATTTCACATCATATTATCATCAATTTATTAATATGTAAGTGAAGTAAAACTATTAGCAGTGAAGATAGATACACCTTTTATGTTATTTTAACATACAAGATAGTTATGTAAAAATGGAATCTCTCATGTGTGAAATCTTGTGCATTTTATTAAATTTAAATCATACATTTTTATTGATAGAATATTTTTGAAACAGAGGAAATATCACAAGATACATTTGAGACTGACTTCTGTTCTCTAAAACGCATTATTATACATTTATATTTCCTTAAGGACGAATTCCTTTTCTTCAAGAGGGAAGACCATCTCATCAAAACACACAAACCACTGACGATGGCAGCAGAAAAAAGTTTCTGTCTCCATTAAGTACTTCATACACCCTGAGTTAGAGAACATATTTCTCTTCCAGCAACTACCATTTGGATACAACATTCTGTGCAGGACTAAATGACTTACATACATTTCTCTTAGTCTTTATTATCAGCATGTGGCGTTACAGGCTCATACCTGCAGTAATCCTGAACATTTAGTCTCTGATTCCAGTCATTAATATGAACAACAGATTGGTTTCTGCACTTGGTTTCTGCACTTAAGAGTATATTAAAAGTCAGGTTGCAGTATTACTTGGATTCAGCACCAAGAATCAAGGTCATTGTGAATTACACTAAATTACATTAGAAGCCGTAACAGATTGATGGAGGAACTATAATCCCAGTCTCTCTTTACTAGTTCAGCTCAAGCTTCAGAATTATTTCAACTTCCTGTATGGCTTTGGCACTGGACCAGAATCAAACCCTGAAGAATCACTTTTTCTGGAATAAATATTTACTTAAATACCTGATACCCTCCCATAGACAGTCATCCTTTCAGATTGAAAGAAAAAATTGTCACCTGACTCCTTTCTGCTGTCAGGGTGGTGGGCTCAGTGTGATTGTCAAGACAGCCAGTACCCATATTGGAGGGAAGCAGTCATAAACCTAGGTGTAGGTTTGTGATTCTCTGGCCTCATCTCCCCTCACAACTGCAAGTATCTTTTCACCTGTAGGTGCAATAAGAGATCAATTTTGGGGAACAGAGGATATTTGTGAAAAACTTTATCCCAGTGGTTAATTACCAAAAAACCCCCTACAAACTACTAGTTATTTCCAAGGAGATCATTGAAGAGTTTTGAGAGACTGCTTTTTGTTTTGTTTTATGTTATCCCAAACGTAAAAGTCAGAGTCTCATGTGAAAGAAGCAGGAAATACTGAGTAGGCTGTGGAAACTGGGAATACACAAGTGCCTGAAAGATCTTACAGAGCCTATAAATAATGCTTGAATCAAAAGTTTGGTGGCAGGCTTCCCTGGTGGCGCAGTGGTTAAGAATCCGCCTGCCAATGCAGGGGACATGGGTTCGAGCCCCTGTCCGGGAAGATCCCACATGCCACAGGGCAGCTAAGCCCGGTGCCACAACTACTGAGCCTGCGCACCTATAGCCCATGCTCCGCAACAACAGAAGCCACTGCAATAAGAAGCCTGTGCACCACAATGAAGAGTAGCCCCCGCTCACCGCAACTAGAGAAAGCCCATGCACAGCAATGAAGCCCCAATGCAGCCATAAATAAATAAATAAATAAATTTATTAAAAAAGAAAAGTTTGGTTGCACATCACGGGGAAACAGAACCAACCTGAAAAAGCTCCCAATGGTCAAATGTAGATGAACTTGAACAACAAAATAAAGAGCATGGAACTGAATGATAATAACAAAATATTCAATAAATACATAGGATTCCACATCAATGTTAAAAATATAATTATAGAAATAAATGGAGAAAAGGAATATATTCTGTACATAAGGATAATGAATAATATAAGGAGTTATTCCTCTTTTAAAGTGGGGAAGACTATTTTATCCCCTCAGCCCCTCCTTGCATATGAGATGCACTTAGTGATTGCCCTACAAAAAAATAGAGTATGGAAAAGAAAAACACAGTAACTTCACAATGGAGAAAACTCGCAAATACTTTAAACAAGTGATGGACCACCTTAATAAACCATGTCAATTACCAAATGATATGACATGATGAGATGTGGAATCTTTCTCGAAAATTACTCATTTATTCTAATCATGAGGAGCACATAACACAAACTCAGCTTTAGGGATAGTCTAAGCAGTGTCTCATCAGTATTCCTCAAACTCATGAAGGTCATGAAAAATAAGGGAAGACTAAGAGGGTCATAGAGCACAAGAGACAGGGAACATATGATGACTATATGTACCTAATGTGCTCGACTGGGTCCTGGAAGAGAAGAATGACATAGGGTCAAAACTGGTGAGATGCAAATAAAGTCTGGAATTCAGCCAACAGTAATGTACCAGTGGAGATTTCCTAGTTTTCACAAATGTAGCATGGCAATGTACAACGGTAACTATAGAGAAAACTGGATGAAAACATATCTGAGACCTCTCTGTATTATCTTTGAAGATTTTCTACAATTCTAAAATTATTTCATAACAAAATATTGACTTATAATTATATAAAAGTTTATAATTGAATTACAAATAGTTATGTTAACTGATTACCTCTTTGAGTTTATACCCTTTTTTATTTTCTAAGGAAGGCATTTTAACTCTTCTTGATTTCGAAAATAATCTAACTATTAAACAAAGTAGATTCATATACTTTGCCTTCTATGTTGTTCCAAATTTAATGAAAAGATCCTCTATAAATGTGTTTTCTAAGGTCAGAAATGCAGGAGTTCCTCTTGAAACCTTTCTTTGTCAATAAAGGGGGTATCACAGGAAAGTCTTCTTTGTGCAGATTATAAGAGCTCATTTTTCATGTACACCAAATCTCTAATCAGTTGTTGCCTCCCACATGCTGTTTCCTTAAAATCCAGTTGAAACATCTTCCTGTGTTCTTTGTAGTGACCCTACAGCTCATTATTCCAGTGTTTACTGGAAATTTTTCAGTAAATTAATCTATCTCAACAAGCATGATATTTCAAAGGTCCACAGTTTATGACAGCCAGAAGACATAAACCTAGGCCCCCCAAAATAATTTTCATTGAAGCAGAGCTTCCCAGACCACATTTTAAAGCCAAGCTTCCTCCTTCACCTTTGGACATCACACCTGTGCCATCTGCTTTATTCATTCCCTACCAGAGGGTATGACTGTTATCTCCTTTTCTTCACATCCCCGCTCTTTCCTTTGCTCAAAAAACGTGACCAGGTTCAGCTTAGAGACAGCAAGACCTGTTTATTTAGAAAAGGAACATGACTCATGCTGGGGATTCTACAATTTCCAATCCAGTACTGTGTTCAGCAGAGAAGAGAGGACACCATATGTTATAGAAAATGATTTCACCAAATAGTATTTCCTGACAGCCCCTTTAAAATACATAGGAAGAATTTCTAATTTGCAGATTTTGAGGCCAAAATGTGATGTTCTCCTTCCCTGTTTTCACCTGCCCTTCCGCCTCACAGTCAACCACTAATTCTGCTATAGCAATGGGGAATGTGGTTTGCAAGGACCTGACCCGACCACACAGACTCTATTACCTTTTCTTGAACCAAAGGCTGGACTCAACTCTCACACCACAAATATACCTGAGAGCCCTCTTGCTTAACTCTGGTTTCACTCTGGAATTGCCTGAAGCATGCAGTTTAAAAAAATTTATTGTAATCTATATAAATTATGCTGTTCACCTGAAACTATGTTGTACACCTGAATCAAATATAATATTGTAGGTCAATTATACTTTTGTTTTTTTTAATGTGCTCTCAGGCAGAACCTGTGAAGGAGGACTTCCCAGGTGGCTCAGTGGTTATAAATCCGCCTGCCAATGCAGGAGACATGGGTTTGAGCCCTGGTCCGGGAAGATCCTACATGCTGTGGAACAACTAAGCCTGGGCACCACAACTACTGAGCCTGCGCTCTAGAACCCGTGAGCCACAACTACTGAGCCCACGTGCCACAACTACTGAAGCCTGCACACCTAGACCCCAAGCTCTGCAACAAGAGAAGCCACCGCACTGAGAAGCCCGCGCACCACAACGAAGTATAGCCCCCGCTCACCGCAACTAGAGAAAGCCTACACACAGCAACAAAGACCCAAATGCAGCCAAAAATCTAATTAATTAATTTTTTAAAAAAAAAGAATCTGTGAAGGAGGTCACAGGTGATACTGGTTATTATAACTCACCATGTCATCTTTATTGTAAGCCTAGAGTGATAAGCATTTATGTAAATTCTGCCTCTCAAATTTAAATATGCATACAAAGTATTCCAGGACCCATGGAAGAAACTGTCATTCTGCAGGTTTGGAGTGGGGCCCAGGAACTGGCATCTTTATCAAGTTTCTTCTTTGTGCCAGTGCTGCTCCCCCAGACCAGTTTTTAGTAGCACTACACTTGCAGTACTTAATAACCATGAGGATGCAGATACTGGGACTCACCTTTCTGTCTCTTGTTCTGTTTCCCTATCATTGATTTTAAAAAGCGTTTGCATGCGATAGAAGCTAACTATAGATGGAGGAATACAGAATGGAAGGGTATCTTAGAAGTTCAGAGCTGTTTCATTGTTTTGTGCTTACTTTCACTTTTTTTTCCTAATAGGGTAAAGGTTTATGTTTATTAGTAAAAGTCAATCAGTTTTCCTAACTGGATATATTTTTAATTCTCCAATCAGCAATATAGGAGATTAACTGCTCTTCCTTCTCACTAAAATTTGATGATCCCAATTTGTGTTTTATTTATTTATTTAATTTAGGCATCTAGAAATTTGAGGTGCCATCTATTGCTTCCCTGGTGTCCAGCATAGATAAAGAAATGTGATATATGACTGTGGGGCGACCATACCAGGGTTATGAGAGAACAGAAATGTGTAAAGTGCCTGCATGTGGCCAACACCAGAGAGAAGAAGTGAAAAAAGTAAAGGTAACTCATAAATATTCTCAGCCATTTTTTCAGCTATGAACATCTACCTATGCACTGTGTACATAACACCAAATGTACATCTTTTCTATGCATATGCATAACTCTGTTCTTGGTATAACCGAAAACAAACCACTAGCTACAGAAAAACACACATGATTATATTTTACTTATACCAAGGTTAAAAGTGAGCATAGGGCTTCCCTGGTGGCGCAGTTGTTGAGAGTCCGCCCGCCAAGGCAGGGGACACGGATTCGTGCCCTGGTCCGGGAAGATCCCACATGCCACGGAGCGGCTGGGCCCGTGAGCCATGGCCGCTGAGCCTGTGCGTCCGGAGCCTGTGCTCCGCAACGGGAGTGGCCACAACAGTGAGAGGTCTGCGTACCGCAAAAAAAAAAAAAAAAAAGTGAGCATAAACTGCTACCCAAGTCCATTGTATCAATTAGCACAACTGAAAAAAGTCCTCTTCCCATTCCAGGCAAGATTGGTAAAAAGACAGTATGGGCTATGAAAAAAATCAGAACTTCTAAAAACCAAATAAACTGTTTGAAAAAGAAATGCTCACTGCCTGTGACTGATAAACTTTTCCCCCAACTAAGTGACACCTGGTACAGATCCCAGAGCACATGACAAGGCCATCACTCTGTTGAGAGGAAGTGAGGATGCTCCCTGCCACCTGTGGGTCAGCTTCCCTGGAAGGTCACTCATTTACAGTAGATATATTTTATGTTGCTGGTATATACCTGGCACCTAGGTTTCTGTGAAACCACAGCACATGCCATGCGGACCTGCCTATTACAGTGTCCGGCAGTCTTCCTCATCTCCACATCTAGTCTGACACGGGACATTTCAAGCTATGTTCACAAAGATTGTTTCATTCCACACCCCATCTCCATCAAACTGCCACTGATCTAAGCCTGGAAAAATGTAATAATCTCTGTCTACTAATAGCATCCAGTCCTTAGTACTGCCCAGGAAATATTTTAAATCACTAGGACAGAATTAGATTTCCTGGATTCTCAGAAACCCAGCACACTTGCCAAGTCTCCATCTCTGTCATTTATACATCCGAACACACCACCACCAACTGCCTAAGACCTTGGGGTGAATATGTGGAGCTTCCTTGCTACATTCCTTTCCTCCCTACATTTCCAAGGAACTCTCCATATGTACTTTCAACAAGTCTTATGTAACTCTCTCTAAAAAAAAAACCCAACCAACCAAACAAAAAAACACCAGTCTTTACAAGTCTCCTAGTGCTAACTGCCCGAGTTAAAACTCTGGTCCATTGAAGCTGCTCCACTCTTATCACAATTAGGTGATCATAATGCTGTATTTGAATCGTATAAGTGACCTCAAATTGATCACTTAAATTTGTCATTGCTTTCGAAATTTTTAAAGTACACGTCAAAAACTACCAGGGCCTGCATGGATGACTGGGGGTGAGGAAAGCAGCGGGAACCCTGTGTCCATAATGAAAGCAAAGAAGGACAGTGACTGTGATTCATATGTAGCAAGGATGACAATGATAAAAAACAAACTGGAAATAATCAGGAAATGAAACAAGTAGATTTTTCTCCTAAACTTAGGGTGTGTCAGTTGTGCAGTCAGAGAACAGGTGTCCTCTCACCACATGCGAAATCATGCAATTCTTCATCTTGGACATTTTCTGTCTTTTACATCATGCTACAGCATCATTCAAATTGGAATATTCTCCTAATTTTACAAAATCTATTAAACACCCATCACAGTCACGTGTGTTTGTTCATGCCTAAACAACCCCATGACTTATGAATTCTCCAAATTTTCACCTGATCTAATTTTTACAGTAAAGTGATTAACTTTGATAATGTTACATATAAGAGGTGGAAGAAACAGTAACTGAAGAAAAGCCATCTTTGTGTTCCTCTCCAATTGAGAAGTAATAAACTGTATTAATTAAACAAAATCAACTTAATATGCTCACTGAAGATTACTCTCATCTTTAATTTCTGAACATGAAAAATTTAATGAAAACCATCCTAAAAATGCCCCAGCATAAAATAAAAGCAATAGTCATGAATTTTGGACCAAAAAAAACTCATAAACTAGATTCTTCATGACTAAAGGCAAGTAAAAAAGATGGTTTTGTAAAGGGAAGAGCTAAATTGGACTCCACGTTCCATCTGTTTCTTTGACTTTAATCTTTGCTTTTCATTGCTTTTGTTATTATAATCGTACATAATGGCCTGCCTCAGGGAACCCTGCCCTTCTGCCAGAATGTTAAAGTGCCTCGGTTCAGCTTACAGGTAGACAATCTGACCCTGTCCACCTGTGGATGGCTGCAAGAAAGAAAAAATTAACACATCCCCTCCCCAAGGCTGGCCATTCCAGGGGATATTTGCAAAGCTTATGGCCATTTCCCTTTACTTCCTCATCTCCTCCCTCTCCCTCTCTGTGCTATAAAAGAAACGGGCATGCAAACCCCGCCCCTCCGCCCCACCCCCGACCCCCACCCCCGCCGCGCCAGTTAAGATGGTTTTTCAGAGACACTAATCTGCCATCTTCTCGGTCTGCTGGCTTTCCGAATAAAGTCGTATTCCTTTGCCTCAACACCTCGTCTCCGATTCATTGGCCTGTCATGCGGCAAGCAGAGCGAGCGTGAGCTTGGTAAAAAATTTGGCTTAGCCAGCCAGGAGCCTTGCTGCTCGTGACTAGCCGCCCTGGTCAGGGAATACTGGGGCAAGGCCCTAGCAGCTGCCGGGACCATTAGTCCTGAGGATCTTCCCTTCAAAGTTCCCTGAAGCGACACCGGCTACCCCAGCACTTGGCAGTTGAGGCAAGGAACCGACCAACTTCAGTTTGGTGCTACGAGTTGATGGACTCGATTCGATTCTGGAACTTTGGTTCCATTTGGGGAACTTCGATTCCAATTTGGGGAACTTCGGTTTCATTTAGGGCTATGAGTCGACAGACTCTGATTCTGGAGGGTAAGTCGCTCCGGCGTGCACACCAGGAACATATTCCCCCCTCAGTCTGGGCTTTTCCTTTACGGGACAAGCCAATCTGGCTGGAATACCCTATTAGCAGGGGCAATTGTTGTTGAACTCTACCTGATTCTGGGAATCGGTTCAGTGGGAAAAAGTTCTTTGGTTTTGTACGGTTAAGTCTACCTGATCTGGGAACTAGTTCATTGGTTTTGTCGTGGTTTTGTGTGCATCGATGCTAGAATTTGTGCCTTTTGTATTGGAATTTGCGTCTTTTGTGTCTTGGTGTTATCAAACTTTTAAAAGTGGAAAACACTCCATCTATCCCAAAGGAGAGCACTTTGGGGAATATATTAGATAAATGGGCAAAACATAGCGGTGATTCTATGACTAAAAAAGACATAATAGATACACTATTGTAATAGGATGTGGACCCAGTATATCTTAGGCTCAGAAGAATGATGGCCTCTGAATGGCTCACTCGCAGTTAGAAATGTTCTGCAAAAGAGCAGGGAATTATGGTTTTCTCAGGGTATATGCCCAGTAGTGGGATTGCTGGGCCATATGGTAGTTCTATTTTTAGTTTTTTAAGGAACCGCCATATTGTTCTCCAGTGACATGTACACACCACCAAATGTAAAATAGATAGCTAGTGGGAAGCAGCCGCATAGCACAGGGAGATCATCTTGGTGCTTTGTGACCACCTAGAAGGGTGGGATAGGGAGGGTGGGAGGGAAACACAAGAGGGAGGGCACATGGGGATATATGTATAGCAACAACTAACACAACAATGTAAAGCAATTATACCTCAATAAAGATGTTTAAAAAAGAGCAGGGAAAAGAGGTGAGATTCCATATGTAGGAGCATTTATGCTATTGCATCAGGAGGAAAAGGAGTCAGAGGGCTGCCATCTTATGGTGCAGCAGTCTGAAGGGAAACCCAAGTGGAAATTTGTTCTACAAAGGAAGAGGGAAAAAATGAGAGTGGGGACATGTTATTTCAAAACTTACACCCCCCTCCAGCCTATCCAGCTCCTTCAATGGCCGAGCAGGCTGCACCAACAGTAGTTCCAACTGCTCCCCCTCCCATGCCGCCAACATATACACTGCCTCCTGTTTCCCCTACCCATGGGGATCAAATAGAAGTTTCTATGGTAAACCCCAGGGCACAGGGACCTGGTTTAGTATCACCATCTAAGACCCAACCGGGCACCCAATTTGGACCGGGAGCCACTTCTAGAGCAGAGCAATTTCCCTCGCCCCGATATCCTGTAAGAGGCCAGGACTCAAGTTCAATTTCCCTTGTACTTGAGGCGTCTGATTCTGATTTCCCCACAGGAGCCCCAGGTACCATTGACAGTGGGGAGGAAGTTGATTGATTTTCTAATAAATACGGGTGATCTTAAGAGGCTTGTAAGTATTAAACAAAGGGAAAACAAAAGTCATCCTAGGAGAAACTTGCCTGTATCTTTGAGATACAAATGTCCTATCCGGTCTTCTCAAAAACCCTTATCTCTGCCATCTTTTTAAAATGCAAATTTTGAAAAAGAGGGTACAGCAATTTAGAACTTGACTTGTTTTCCATAATTATTAGTAGAAAGGGTTTAGCCATCTAGACAAGAGCTTGATTTGTTCCATCTGCCAGAAACCCAACTTTAATCCAAACTCTTTTGTAAACTGATGGGTTTTACATTGTTGTACCTGACTCAGGGCTGAACTTTTGAAATGAGAACTATGATGTCTCTGTTTGTACGTGTATTTGTCTTTGGATAACATTGCTGAGGTTAATCTGTAAATTAGCTCTATTTAATTGGCTTAAAGAAAAGTAATTGCTTACAAACCAAACAATTCTACCTACAAGAGAAATTAAGCTAAATGAGTTTCAGGGACACGTGAACTGGGAAATATCTAGTATTAAGTAAATGCCTGGTATTAATGTTTAAGTTTGTTGATCTAATTAATACAGACATGTCTTTAGAGCCACCAACATTTAGTACTTTCACTGCACCTAGATTTAAAAAAAGTTAAATGAAATCTTGTTATACCTGCTGCAAATTTGTCAGCAAGAAACATAACTTGATATGATGAAATTTTAAATGTAAATGACATAAGAGCTTTTAGGTAAACTATAAAAATAATTATGTTCTAAAAATCATCTAAATAGTTTCTCCAGATTCTGGTAACTATTACTTGCCTCTTGGTTGTCACTAGAAATTAAGGTTTT